AAAAAAAAAAAAAAAAAAAAAAAAAAAAAAAAAAAAAAAAAAAAAAAAAAAAAAAAAAAAAAAAGAAGATGAAATGGTCCCTGATTCTCTATATTAATGACAATAACACCACTGCTCTCTAAGAATACGGGCAGGGAAAGGAGGCCTGCAAAGGGACGGTTTAATCTGAGTGGATTTAAAAAATCGTTGCCTTTRGTATAATTTATGGAAATGAAAAGTGCTTACATTAAACAAATAGTCTGCAAATGTTCTCAGTGATGGGCTCTGCGGCACACGCACTCTTATTTCCAGGTTATGAGTGTCTTAAAAAGAAAATGAATGTTAACTACTTGGATTTCATGTATTTATTGTTCTAATACTCGCCGATTTTTCTAAAAGCCCTAAGGATACAACCTATCGTGTTAACTGTATCGGAAAGAATATACACATTTTCATATTATTTTTTTCCCTGAACCTACTAGTAACCAATCTAAAGCAAACTATTAAGCAGACTTGTGGAGATGGGAGATTGCAGCTCCATTTTTTGTCCTTAGCTGCAAATAGAGGTTTAACTTGCAGTAATTAGGTGAGAACTAGCCAAGCATCTTACTATTATGATGCTTGTTAAAAACGCTTCTTTTCTGCATCTGCATTTGAGTGTGTTCCCCTCCACTCTTAATCTTCTTATGGAAATGAAGGCGAACGGCAGGGAACCTGCAGAGACTTAGAGAATGTCCTTGTTAACTGGAATTTCTCAGCATTGCTAATTAGCAGAGTTTGACGACCACCAGTATTGGGGAAAGCTCTGTTTAGCCACTCACAAACCCTTCCGAGGAAGAGCAGACTAATTTTATTTTGTAATTAAAATCTGAAAAGGGCCCTATTTGACAGTTAGGGCTATGAGAGTTTTATCTCCCCGTGAAATAATTACTGCCTTGATAACTCAATTTTCTACAAAATGTCAACTGTGAGCTCCAAAAGTTTTAATTTCATTACGTTAAAAAAAAAATAAGCAAAGACGAAAATGTACAGATAAATTTCCTTTTGCCCCTCTTATGCTGTAGCAGCCCAGTGCTCAGGTGCCGAAGTTAGTCATCGAAGTTTTAATGAACTAACTATACCCCAATCTCTGGGGAATTTCAATCGTCACATAGTGAGTTTGTGGAGGTATCCCGAGGAAAACTTGGGGAGATATATTCTGAAATGCCCAAGAATAAAAGGCACGGTTGGAGTGGGTACGGGCCCAGGACTGGGGCAGGGGCCGGAGGAGCCCCGAGCCGCTGCAAATGCAGGATGTCCTCAGCCAAAGGAGGATCTCACACGGCGCCGGCCGTAGAGCCGGGGGGACCCTCTGGGCGCTCAAAGGGCTCCCGGAAACTTGGGAAGTTTGGCGGGGCCGAGCCGGGGTGAAACTGGGGCCATTCTGCCTGCGAGGCCCGAAGGCGGCTGTTCGGGGAACCTGGGGGGAGCCGAGGCGCCGCAGCAAGTGTAATCCACTCTGCTTGCGTTTGGGATATTTTTTATTATTATTTAAAACGGTTTAATCTCCTTTTTGTCCCTCCCTGTCCAGCAAGTAGCCCGATTGTCGCTCTCAGAAGTGGCATTACACGTACAAACCAAGGAGGGGGCGAGCCGCGGCCGTTCCCTCCAGACCCCATTTCGCCCAATAATTTCATTCAAGGGCTCTAAGGACTCTTGAAAGCCGGGGAATGCCGAGGGAGCCCCGCGCTGCTCCCGGCCTCTCCTTTCATCCCTGTTCTCCCGAATGGAAGCGCGGGCCGAGCACACGTGCGGCCGGGCGGGCAGCGCACGGCCCGGGGACAGCGGGGGCAGCGGGGCCCGGGGACAGCGGGGACAGCGGGGGCTGCCGATCTCCCCCAGCCCGTCCGAGCCGGGAGTGCTGCTGTGCCCCCCGGTCGGTCCCGCTGTGCCCCAGGACGGTCCCGTTGTGCCCCAGGACGGTCCCTCTGTGCCCCAGGACGGTCCCTCTGTGCCCCAGGACGGTCCCTCTGTGCCCCAGGACGGTCCCGTTGTGCCCCCCGGTCGGTCCCGTTGTGCCCCAGGACAGTCCCGTTGTGCCCCAGGACAGTCCCGTTGTGCCCCCGCACGGTCCCGCTGCCACCTCCGCTCCCTCCCGGCGACCACCGCACGCGTGAGCCGCTGCTGCCGGGCTGGGGCGGCAAAAAAAAACAAACAGCCGAGAGGTTATTAAAAATAAAAACGGGGAGAGGGCGGGGAGAAGGGAGAACAACAGAAATAAAAAGAAGCAGCTCCGCTTTTGTCCAGTGTTGCAAGAAGTAAAATTTAAAGAAAATAAAAATAAAACTCGGATCCTGGAAGGAGTTTAACGTACACAATAAGCAGCAGAAAAGCCGACTCGCACACACCACCTCTCGAAGTCGCTTTCTAAAGGCTTCTCAATAAATGGAGAAGCCGATTGTCCAAACAGGCTTCCATGACTCCYCATAAATAGCCAACAGCCTCCTCAAACTGTCCGCGATTTTTGCCCTGCAYCTAAAATCACACTCCCGGGATTTCTTTCCCATAAGAAAGTATAAGTGAAGCTCGTACTTTTTCTTACATGATCTTTAAAATAAATCAGAAAATCAAGATTAGTGGCGAGGATAAACTTACGAATTACTGTACAACGTAACGGGGTGAAATTATAGTTGAATATTGGCTCTTTAGCAGGAAGGCAACCCCCTCGAGCGGGATCCTTTTTGGCAGTCTATTTAAAGTTATCTTTCCTTCCTAGTTTTATAAGAACAAATGAGTTTTCTTTTCCCATTGTAGTTGAATGAACTCATGTATATTAAACACAAAACCCCTCCTGAAGAACGCTAACTGCTTTGCTTAAACCCACAAAAGCACAAAAATCCAGAATTGAAGGTTTCCAATTCCTGAATAAGTCCCCTTAACTCTCTC